GTAAGAAAAGTCGGAGAATGCGTGAATTTTTGGTTGGCTCGTTGTCACTGATACTGCTGATGATGTTGACGTCCGTGTAGAGGATGGAATCATTCCGTTCTATCAAGGTCAAGTCAGCACATATGAACTGCAGAAATCAATCCTTTCCCAATCTCCACTCCCGAAAGTTGACAATCAAACGCATCACTGCTCCGAATTTATAGCTTCCGCGTGACCACTTACTAGCTTGCGCACTCATTTAGCCAATAAACACACCATTCACTGTCATCCATAGACGCTCTGTTGCCATTCGCCAATAAAGACACGTATTTGCTCCATGAATACTTATTGCAAATAAATGGCAGTTACTAATTGTGTGATTATGTATAACAAGGCAAAGAAAGTGATCAGAATGTGGAGGGCATTGGTGGAGGCCAAATACAAGAAATCGCTATTTCTACAAAACTTTTCAACTAAGAAAACAGTTTATCATTCTGGGTGGAGTGCAGACAGGTGGAATATTCCTCATTGAGCACGTCACCTGATGGTACCTCAGATGAATGACAATTAGGACCTACCCTTGTCACAATATTGCTGCAGTTTTGTCCGTTAACCATTGAACATTCACACACCCTTCACAAGCCTTTTTAATTAGCTGTAGGAGCGCGTACTTGGATAGCAAGAGGAGCACCTGCTACATGAGCCTGAGAGACGGGCCAAGAGAAGCATAAGAAAAGGTCGATGCGCGTTTGGATGCCACAGCCTTTGCTTCTGCGTCAGGTCCAAACAATCAGAATGGGGACTGTTGCGGTGATTGCGACCAAGAAAGCTCAACATTGACCTTTTGAGCTTGATGTGAAACAAAACGCGAGTGACATAAACTGGGTTACCACTGTTTTGAACTGGTTACCAATACTTGTGATCTGCAGATTCTATGTGGTGGTCATGCATGTCTGCATACTAACTAGACCGAAATGCAAACACTCAGAAGGTGAAGGTATGAGGACAGACGACCTGAATGGCTAAGGCTACTGAGTCAAAACATTCGTGTTGTGTGTGCGTATGGGCATCCAGTCTGTCTGATGGAGGTCACCATGTTGTGAGTCAGTGACTGTGTCCACAGCATCATGTGCTAATGATGGGCTAGAGGGTTTCCATGTGCTGTGAATAGTTAAGACCTTTCTATCATTGATCCAAATCGAGCAGCATTTCACTGCAATGGCAGGATCAGGATTGCCTCAAGTGTTGCTTTTGATGGATGCATCTATTGTGCATTTACGCAAGTTGAATATGTTTAAGGATTTTTAGTGCACAGCAAAGTGATAGAAAATTGTGATAGAAATTGCAACTACCAAAGCAGTGCAATTTGTCATTTTTTTTAACTTTCTCACTTTACCCATAAAAAGAAATAAATCTGCATCTGTTTAGTGAAAAAAAACAATGTAGTATTTCCATGCATTGCGATTGGTATTATTGTGAGGATTCGCAAGGACAACTGCATCTTACACGGTTGCCATTTCGGAGGATGTTTTACGAGAGTCTCCCTTGATATACATGCTCTCAAATGCTCAATCGTGTTTGACAATCTATTAGCGTTACGGGATTTATTTACAACTCAAGCCCATGGCAAAGTGCTAAGTTAAATCGCGTAAAATGAAAACGTTGTAATGCTGGTCTCGCTTTCCCAATGGACTAAATAGGATGACTAGCTACTTGCCAGGATGTGCTTCTCCCATTCACCATCGCGCAAGATTAGACCATTTGGTGGCATTGCCAATTTATTTTAACACCATTTCACGATGTCTCATTACTGGACAATTGTGACATCGCTGTACGATGTGTTGTATGTTGGAAGAATTGTGAACAGAGGGTTAGGTTGAGGCTGTAATCAATGCAGCTGTGGGAAGAAATGTGTTTAGCACCAATTCAACAAGGGAATGCCGTGCGACACTGTAGTATTGCGGTGGAAGATGGAATGGGGAGAGGTAAAGGACGGGTCCCTCCCATTCTTTTTTAATCTGTCTCACAGCGTCAATTGGAATGCACTCTCCTACGCTATCTACACCTAAAACAGCACCCGTCAGAAGCTGCCAAGACTTCATATTCACAAATTGGAGCATTATGTCTGTGCTCTGCCAGCAGTGCATGTAATGGCACTCACAACAGCAACGTTAGATTACGTGCCCGTTGCCTCGAACAAAATTTCGGAAGTCGGAATGAAGACACAAGCGCTCTAACTAGCCGATGAAAGAATTAATTGTTCTTCCCCCTCCTCCTTCTCCAACAACAACAAAAATTTGCTGGTGAACCATATGGTCATTTCACTATTATTCCTTTGGAACAAGCTGTCTCATTAGATCGGGACAGTTTGCCTTGGTAATATTAGGGACGATGTGCAGTGATCAGGATTATGCTTGTTCGGCGTACAATTCATTATTGGAGGTAAATGACACCGGCTCCATCAAAGTATTCGTACTCATTAACCACCTCTCACCTCAACTGTGCATTCAAGGAAACACGGTTTGTGCATTATGGCAATCTCCCATTAAGCATGTCAGTTCGATTCGGCAGATGTGTGGAGTGGGAGAGGGGAAACAGTGAACTGCATCTATAAATCAAAGTGACCTCAAATGGAAAAAGCTAGAATTCGTAGTCTGTAATGATCTTGCAGCTCATCTTAGTAGGAAGTGAGGGTTTCGACGCTTGCACCATCATCAGCAACAAATTGACCGACTGAAGGAGAACAGAATGAGTAAACATACGGG